TAATATTTTGCACCTTATTTTCTAATCTAATTCTCAGTTTTGGACATAATTGTATTTTCCCAAATTATTGTGCGTTGTGATCAGGATATTCATTTATTTATTCATGTACCTTTTAGCAGTAATCCGAATTCGGAGATTTCACAGGAAATCAGGATATCGCAATACAGCCAATAGTGTCCCAACTGTCTTGTCTTCTCTCATTACCGTGCTTGCCAGCCAATCAGGTGATAGAATAGTTTTCTTCTCTCTACCTCGCCTCGAACTCACGCGTACTAGCCTCAAGGTTAAACCGGTCAGCCTATCGCGTCACGGTCTTAATCTCGAGTAGACAGATCAGGGTCATAACAATTTCAGAGTTAGATTAAATTTATTAAACCGAAAGGCCTTCTTCTCCTGACTTTCGTCAAGCAAAGACTGTTTTGACAGCTCAGGGATCGGCTTACAATCACACCTGTGGGAGACTGATTCCCACCATGTAATCATGACGGTATGTGATGTCGAACGATTGGTAATAATCTCGTTCGGTTAAATTCAAGATCAAGGCGTGAGGCAGTTGATCATTGTCACTCTGAATGTCTGCTGGAAACGGTTATTATCCTATTAGATTGTTACGGATGGAAATTTGGTCCTGTCTTATTGATGATGATCCACAGTGCTTTATTATATATCAGAGAAGCGTTTGAATGCAAAGTATTGAACACACCCCTCTTAACAAAGGTTGTGAAGATAAGTTTATCCGATTCACATCTATCCTTACTCCAAAATTACTTAGAGAACTCGACGTCCTGAACTCAGGTACTATTTAAGGTTTACTCTTGTTTTAGGTTGTTATCAATGACACCCTAGACTCTCATATACCTCAAACATGCCTAGAAATGAAGGTTCATAAGAAACGTAATGGACCTAACAAAAATAGATAAATAAACGGTGGGCAATAGGCTAAAACGTAAGCTGCCAAAATGACGTATGATGCACAATAAACCTTATGGGTTACAATCAACTTAATTTCTCCACAGAAACTCGCTACTAATTGTCTTCTCATAGTTCTATCTAAGACTGGTAGCTACAGACTACTTGGACACCAGCTCACATTGTGGATAGAACCAAAAAATGTGTAGTTCACTAACTACGAGTACAACTCAATCTGATCACCCTTAAATTAATTTTTAAATCCTAGAACGCATTCATGACTTCACTCAAAAGTCCACAACATTGTCCTACTGTTATGACTCTAAGCCCGGCTAATTATCACGTGATTTATTTGCCAATCGAAATATTATTTATTTAATCTTAGTACTATAACGAATCAATGACGTTCGACCGGTATGAACAACCTAGCGTCCTTATTGGTCCTTCTTCCTCCTAGCCCTGTTAGTTGAATCCAGAACAGCTTTCACTATGCGAATCATTTATTTCAAAATACTTGGTTTATATACCAGCCAAACAAAACGCATCACACCATAAAATAGGAAATAAAATCTATACAAGATCAGGCTAAAAAGTGTCTGTGAACGTAAGTTTGTCTGCTCTCACTGTCTATATGATTATTTAATTGACTTTCTTATTTATTTACTTTATGAAACAGTTGTCTTCTCCTAGCATTCAAAATTTCTATTTATTATTTTCCGTATTGGAACCAATCAACCTCGTATATAGTAATGTGACAGCTATTGATTCCAGAAACCTTACTGCCTTGAGACAAACTCATTCATTCAAACTACATGATACGCAAACCAACAAACAACTGTCAGACTGATTTGTACTAATGAAGTCAAGTGGCTTAAACACCATTCGTTAAGCATCACTGAAGATCTGAAACCTCACCAAACTAATGGAAAGTTAGCACAGGGAAGTCAATCAGTTTGTTAAAGCTCGTAATGAAATTAGCATGCATTTAATTATATTAGAAATACATGATACTGGGACAGCCGTTTGTTTTATGATAATTCCTTTAATAGTCAAGAAATTGGCTTACTGAATAATACTCAAATATCTAGTAAATAAGTAGTTGACAATCACTTCTCGGATTGTTAAGGTGGTAATGTAAGACAAGAAAAACTAATACAGGCTATTAAGAGATATGAACAATTTATCTCAGTAGAATAAATTTCCAAACGACTTGTGGTATTGTTCTACGAACAAGTCGACTAAGTTGGACGTCGTATTAGCTATCAATCGTCTGCTCAAGAGAAATCCATCTATTCTAAAACCATTAGTCAGAATCCGAGAAAAGCTTGCCGAGTCCTTTTTTTATTTTTGATATTCAAATTCAAAAATACATAAACTTTAGGTCTTAATAAGTAAATAAGTGGGATCTGCATGATATGAAACTGATTAATTAACCACTTAGTTTTACAAAATAAATAACTATCAAAGGTAGAAAAATAACTAAAATGATTTTTACTGAGATGTTTATTACTAAATAAACGAAAATATTATTTCAGTGGTTGGAATCATGAGTCAATTGAAGGTAGACCACCATGGAAAACCTGGAAGCACTGGACGGCTGTTTCGTCCTAGTATGGGACTCCTCAGCAATGCGCATCCACGATCCCGCCCCCCGCGGGTGGTCTAGCTTCAATTGACTCATGATTCCAACCAGTGAAATTTCTAAAATCTCCACAAAACCTATTCTGAAAATATTATTATGCGCTTTGGTATTTTTTGAGATTTGGATCTTGTCACAACATAATCAACTTCCTAACGACTATCAGATGTCAATTTTATAAGAAAACTACAATTAAACATCTACATGAATTTTCGACAGGATCCTAATCGAGTTGGAAACAGTTATTAAAGACAGTATACGTGCTGACAACACTAATTGTCTTTATAAATTTTGTTACATCTTGATCTGTCTACCCACTTTGTGCAGAGGATAAGTTGTTTAATCTAAATTAAAACCTTGACGCGATAGGCTGACTGGCTTAACCTTGAGGCTAGTTATGTGTGAGTTTGAAGTGAGACTAACTGCTTGGGGTAGAGAGACGAAAACTATTCTATCAACTGACTAGCTGATAGGCACGTGAGTGAGAGAAAACACATCAACTGGAGCATTAAACGATTTATTTCCAAACTTAAAATATACCAAGTAACCTGATTCACAACGCATTAGAAATGGAGAAATGAAATTCTCAACTGTCTGTAATCTATCAAGTTCAGTTGGCAAACAATAATCTTAAATTATGATTGGTTTTCTAAATAATCATTCTACATAAGCATACTGATCATTGGGGTGTACCAGTGCCAATTTGTTTAATCCTTAGTGTTAGTCGAGTCCTACTGACCAAGCTGCAATTTGGTTATTAGTTGAAGTAACTCGACCTTATGTATTGATGTTAGTTTGCGCTAAAGACTAAACAAACATGACAATGACTACTAATCGGAAAATAGTTTGTGTAAATGACTCAGTCCTACAGGATATCTGCCACTAATCAAATAAACGTAGATGAGTATGCTTTTTAATACAATATATTCTTCAGAACAACACTATTTGCATAAAATAAAGCTTTGCAAGCAACAGTTGGGTTGCAAAACATAAATGGGATTTCAAAAATTAAAAAAAATTTCAATAACATTTAGAAGGAACTATAACTTTTAGTAAAGTGTATAAAGTGTGAAGTAACTAAATTAACAACTTATTACTTAATCACTTCAAGATCATTTGGCCAGTGCCCAAATCTAGTCGGTTGGTGATAAGGTAGTGAAATGTTGAAAAGTATAATTATAAAACAAAATGTAAACTGTCTGTATAAAGATTGTCTTTATCATCTTTAAAGATTAACTTTGGCTAAAAGGTGTGTCAAAATCATTTGAATATGATCACAATTCAGTAGACAATGGTTATTTATATAATAGTGATAGTAACAGTTTCGCTATTAAACTGTGAGGATGAGAATAAACGTTGATTGTCTAGAAAGGCATAAACTGAATTGCCACAGTTACTATGATTATTTATTAATGATGTTTTTGTAATATGCGAATTTTACAAAAATAACTGTTTATCTTTAATGACTACTGAAAACAATTAATAGTGACATTTTCGTATATATTTAGTCATATAGGTCAAGTTTGTGCTAGCAGATGCTCATTATAAACTAAAACTAAATAATCATACACTACAAGCAAAGAGAGATAGTGGCTAGCAGTGTGATCCAGTACTCCCGTTCCGTCCCATTTGGGACTCGTCAGCTAGATGTACCTACACCTCTGAGTTGATGTTAACTCTGGGACTCATACCCAATACCGTTTGCTTCAAACGCCATCGCGTTGTCCACTTAATTTCTAAATCCTGATAGTTTGTGTAAAGTTTAGATTCACTTGGTATTGTTCTACTTGAATCTTCTCATTGATGTTTAAGACTGCAATCAATCAGTCTCTTATTGGCATATGTGCATCCAGTGCATATTACCTTGATATTGCCTTCATTCACAAGCGTTATAGGCATTCTGTACACTACTTTCTGATATCAATTAAATTTTCCAGATAATTTCAGTTTATGGTTAAAATTATTTCACCATTAATAAAAATTAAACAAATCCCTTCCCCCCAGATAGATAGATATCTGAGGAGTCCCATAATAGGACGAAACAACCGTTCACTACTTTCAAATTCTCAATGGTAATCTATCTATATATTGATAAGTCTTGTTAATTTGAACGCTTTATTCGGTTCCTAAGCTATTCTGGTAACCCGCAAGCTAGAAGTACGCAGCGACCTGGACTGGAGAGAAAAACACAGATATTTATAGATGTTAATATTCGTTAAATCAACATCATATTTCGGCCAATCCGCTAAAAGACATATTATGCTACTGACCAATAGTAGCACGCCACGTTGATATTCTAGAAAGCTTTATCTTGCTCTGATTGGCTAAGACTCTTCGGCCCCTTTAGGGCCTCTAGAGGCTCCGTTTCAGTTCTCGGAAAGCCGACTCAACATATATCAGATAAACTTATTGCATAATTCAAATTAAAAAAAGAAACCAAAACAAAAGACACCATGATAAATATGTGTATATGTGTGCCGATTATTTATTTAATATTAAAAAAAGAAAGAAAAGTTCTTAGTTAATACTGTGCATGACAAATAAATCATGGTGCTTAATACAAAAGAAAACACAACGAAATATATGCATATGATTCTCATTGAAAGTGATCAATTATGAATAATGATGATTAGTGATTTACCGCATACACAAGCCAAATACATTAATAATAAACTAGAGTAATCATAATAATAACAATGAAGATATGTGTATATATTAAATAGAGCAAATTAAAACAAAAAACAATTTATCAAAATGACCTACAAATATTGATAATTGAATAGTGTGAATTATATTTTCGAGGTAGACATAAATTTCATGAATTCATATTTACTTCTTTTAAATTTATGACATAATCTAAGTTATTGTATACTACTTAAATTCTGAATCTACAGTAGATGTAGAAAGTTATTATAAGTAGTATAATGAATTATATTAAATACACGTTTCTACTTTTTTTAATACTAAACATTGTTGACATTCAACACGACAACACCATATAAATTTACAATGACATGATTCCATAATATAATAATGATGTGTTATATAACCCCGACCACAACATAAATGATGACAATTATTCATATAAATTGAAGATGAATTACATAAACGACCTTTTGTACCTAATATATGATAAAATGAATTTGAATGACAAAACAATTTCTCATTTATTAATTCATAATAAACTAATTGGGATAAATGTGGATGTATTGAATGATTCATTAGTTCATTGGATTTACTTAACATGGATGTTGGGCTTATAATAATCAAATTGGATTTTTTGGGAGTTTTCTTTACATTATTAGCGTTTCTATCATAATAGTCATTGGATATAGATGATAATATTGGGGTTAATTGTTTTTTCATGTTTTTCTGATAAGGTATAAATTTGATAGCTTTATCTAAATATGAATGTTTAAAATGATTTGATGTAGAGGAAGAGGTCTCTTGTTTACCTTCGTAAGTATTACGGGTCGATCGCAGACTATTGGAATCTAAAAGTAAAATTTTGTAAGAAGATGCTATAATAGATAGTTAGATTGGATACAAATATAAAATATATGAAAGTTTACTGATCTTCTACTTTTATTACTAATGCATTTAGTAATAGTGTTGTGTGGGTTACTTATATTCCACACAAGTAGTATATAATGATGGTCAGGTATAGAATGTATTTCAGTAGAAGGTCAGTAAGGAAAGAATGGGAACGAAACGCAATTGGTAATGAAAACGCATGAACAATAAAATCTGAGACAATGGATTGGTGTTTGCAACAGGAACAGTCATGTTTGATATGATGGATTGATATTTTGCAAATTAGCGACTTATGATATGGTTCTCAGATTTTATTGAGATGCTCTGTAATTTCATGACAAATACATTCGATTGTCCCCACTGGTGTCCTTGTCCACTACAGTAATGCTTTCAGAACAGATTGTTTAAGAATACTATACTATTATATTGTTGTAAAGTCGCTTTGTTCAAATTAAATATTTCACAGACTAGAACATAGAGCTACATACATATGGTGTGAGCTATGTTTACAACAACATCAGTCTTATCATGAAATCCCTAAGACTGTGTTTAACTTTAATCGTATTTACTTTTAACAGGACATTATACAAGCAAACAATCGGAATAGCAATGAGATTCCCTGTGTCCCCGATTGTAGCCAACCTGATTATGTCACATATATAATCATACATTCTCGCTAATGACATTAAACCACGAATTTGGCTCAGATATGTAGATGATACTCTTGTAGTCATGAAAAAAGATTCACCCAACTTCTTTTTCTGAACTAATCAAAACACTTTCATATCACATTAAATTTACATACGAGAATGAAAATGAGGACGGTGAACTACCATTTTTTAGGCAGCTTTGCTAAAAGAAATCTAGATGGAGTTCTAAATCTAACTATCTACCGAAAACTAACTCACTGAAATTGTCATATCGACTTCAATTCATCACATTCATTTAGTGCGAAAATCTCACTAGCCCTAAATCTATTTCAAAGAGCAAACATGATTATTAGATCTGAAGAGGATAAACATAAAGAATAAAAGCACATGATTAATATCTTATAATTTAAAGCTTTTCCTATGATGATCATTAAAATTGTAATAAAATGAGATCTTTTACTGCTAAATGATAATCCGAATGAAATATCATAGATTGGTACTATAGTCTTCCTACACCGCCGTAGCACGACAGATGAACTTCAAGGAGTCTTAAAACAACAGAGAATTAAAATATATTACAAAACAATGAAATCCCTTCGAAACATTTTAGTTCCTTCTTATGTCAATACAGAATTGTGTCTACAAATTAGGATGTGTCCATTGTGATGCATTCTATATTGAACAGTCATCTCGTGAAAATATTGACTCGAACCAAAATGCACTTTAAGTACACAAAAAACAACCGAATATTCCCATAGAACTGGAAACACTCAAAATAATTTCGGCAATAACGGTCCAAGTCATTTTCAATAACAAACAAGTAGATATTGAAAACATCAAAATAATACAAACAGGATTTTTCAACTACAAAGAAAGGTGAGTAGCTGAAGCTTCCCACTCATTGTTTGATCCTACTACTCTCAATAGAAGGAAGACCTCACTATCCATCCGACTTCAACCATCCATCCATCCATCCCAGCTACTATGTTTCATTCTATTCACATCTCGCACCATTAACAAACACACAAATTCATCTTTATCCCTTCTCACCACAAATGTTGCACGTTTCATCCTTTAACATACATACATACATACATACATACATACATACATACATACATACATACATACATACATACATACATACATACATACATACATACATACATACATACATACATACATACATACATACATACATACATACATACATACATACATACATACATACATACATACATACATACATACATACATACATACATACATACATACATACATACATACATACATACATACATACATACATACATACATACATACATACATACATACATACATACATACATACATACATACATACATACATACATACATACATACATACATACATACATACATACATACATACATACATACATACATACATACATACATACATACATACATACATACATACATACATACATACATACATACATACATACATACATACATACATACATACATACATACATACATACATACATACATACATACATACATACATACATACATACATACATACATACATACATACATACATACATACATACATACATACATACATACATACATACATACATACATACATACATACATACATACATACATACATACATACATACATACATACATACATACATACATACATACATACATACATACATACATACATACATACATACATACATACATACATACATACATACATACATACATACATACATACATACATACATACATACATACATACATACATACATACATACATACATACATACATACATACATACATACATACATACATACATACATACATACATACATACATACATACATACATACATACATACATACATACATACATACATACATACATACATACATACATACATACATACATACATACATACATACATACATACATACATACATACATACATACATACATACATACATACATACATACATACATACATACATACATACATACATACATACATACATACATACATACATACATACATACATACATACATACATACATACATACATACATACATACATACATACATACATACATACATACATACATACATACATACATACATACATACATACATACATACATACATACATACCTACATACATACATACATACATACATACATACATACATACATACAGAAATATGCAAACATGTCTCACATAAATCCCCGGAATGACATGGCAATCACTTGGTCAAACCTGTTTCTTGGTTGATCTCATCAAATATTCTTGCTCATTCCCTTGTACAATTTAAACTTGAGTTAACTTAATTTTTATCAGAAGGGGTTTGTGGAGATTTCAGAAATTTCACAGATTGAAATCATGAGTTAGTTGAAGCTAGACCACCATGGAAAACCTGGAAGCACTGGACGGCCGTTTCGTCCTAGTATGGGACTTCACAGCAGTGCGAATCTACGATCCTGTACCCTGCGGGACTCGAACCCAGAACCCACTGGCTTCGCGCGCGAGCACTTAACAATCAGACCACTGAGCCAGCATCCAACGGTGTTAATGTTTAACTTCAACCACTCCACGAAGTTGCGCCACCGTATACCATTGTCTTCAGTGAACTGATATCTCACAACAGACCTGGTTATACTCCACTGGTAACGGCTTCCCACTATATCGTGGATGCGCACTACTGAGGAGTCCCATACTAGGACAAAACGGCCATCCAGTGCTTCCAGGTTTTCCATGGTGGTCTAGCTTCAACTGACTCATGATTTCAATCTGTAAAATTTAATTTTGTCAGAATGAGGGTTTGTGGAAATTGTACTAATTTAATGGCTGAATTCATGAGTCAATTTAGGCTAGACCACTATAACGGCCGTTCAGTGTTTCCAGGTTTTTCAGGGTGGTGTCTAGCCTAAATCAACTCATGAATTCAACCATTAATTTAATATGTTTATTTGTTCTTTGAAGAAGTGGCTTACACTGAGTCACGAAACGTCAGAAAATTTAAAAATTTCATTTTTCTACTTATTGTGATAATACAAATGTATTATTTTTATTTGTTTATAGCATTAATATATAGTTTAAACAGTAGATTACTTTGCTACAACTACTGTGGACAACTTCCAGTTGTTATATATACATTTTAATAACCAAAAGTATTTATCTATGGATAGACCGGATTGGTTTGGACTGAAGATTATAGGACTGTCTCCAACACCCATAATGACAAATCTTCCATCTCTGTTAACATGTTCTCATGTACTGAAGGAACTATAGAAAATTTCTTTTTTCAATTTTTCAAACCGGAGCATTACAAACACAAAATGGCCTAATGTTTAAGTACTCGCCGTTATACTTAAAAGTCATGAGCTATGCTCCCTGAAGACATCGTAGATGTGCATTCCTGAAGAGTTCCAGACTAAGACAAGACTAATATCTAATATTCTATAGTTTTCAATGGTACTTCGACTGAGACTGGTTTGTGACGAATACCATCTACAAATTAAGTGGACTTCTATAATTGCTTCATGAAAAGTGTGATGTCTCATTAGCCAAACTATTCGCATCAAAATATTAATTATGATTGTTTGAATTCTGAATAAACATATAACGATAAGTGTTGGGAACTTGACGATAATCTTACTAAGCTTAATTATTTAAAATATCCCTATCACTAACAATTTTATTCATTGTCAGTTAGTGCACCTGTTGTGTCAGTAATGTAGAATTAAGGACAACTACGAATAAAAAGTTTTTTCCAAACATCGTCCTGCCCGAGTGTCAAAAGAATTCATGAACTTAGTTAGCACTTCAACACTGAAACATCTCGTGAATTATAGACACATAGCTCCACAAGAAACCGCTTTCAAAGTCATCCATGAAAATCAAATAATTTGGCTGTAAGACAATATAAAAATTAAAACTTATGTAAAGAAAAAGCCTTAGAAATTCATTAATTCAAACCCCATCTGTGTGTACAAAGATAACAGGTTCAATCACTCATATTCTATCATAGCTTTACCCCCCCCCTCATTCTATATTCCATTCTTAATCTTTCATCCGTACTACTTTTTTTTCCAAATTTTCTTTAATTACTGATAAACTATAATCAAAACTTTGAAGTATTTGATCATCCACATTCATCAAGTTGACAATTATCTCGCGCCAACAAACTATCACCATAGCGACATGTCTCACTCTCTGATAGAGATTTTTGAAAAATTAATGATACATAAATTCGTTAAATAAAACGATACTTGTGTGTTTTATTGTAAACTAATATGAGCCAAAATTCATTATAAGTATTATTATACAATTCGCTAAATTTTCTCTAATTTTCTTCCATTTCATTCAATTACCATAGATGAATATCTATCATGTAGTGTTGAAATAATTTTTTCTGGTTAACGTTTTTTTAACGAGTTAGTTGGGGTCGCTAACTCCATGCCTAACCCTCTTCCTTTATCCGGGCTTAGGAGCGGCAGTAGCCCCATAGGAGCTACAGGTGGTGTTGAAATACTTTGAAAATTAAACAAATGGAAACATAAACTTGTCTTGGATATTTATAACAATCAGATATGATGTCTGTAGTTGTAGTAATATGGAAGATTGGTCAGCATTTAGGTCAGAGAGTTAGTCTGATGATGCTTAGATTATTGATTCAGATCTTTTTATTAGTCAGATTTCCTTTTGAGAAACAATAAATAGTTTCCTATTTATGAAGTATTAAATGCTAATTTACATAAACAATAAATGCCTATTATATCTCACCTAGTTTAACTTGTACTAAATCATGATCATATATATGTTTTAACAAAGTTCCAAGTGTTCTCATTCGTGGTGTTCTTCGATAACAGGTTCTTAAGGTACACGATCCACTTGTTCCATGGCATCGACAATAACGTTCCATATTTTTAATAACTAACTAAAGATAAAACAAAACTAAGTTTAAGTTAAAACTGTGTAGGTATTTAGATACATTTAAACAACTGGAAGGTGATAAATATTCAATAATAATAACGCAAAAATATTTTTAAAAAATGGATTGAAAGAACTATGTGATACTGATAGAGTTTATTAACATCATTTATTTTATTTCTGACTTCTTATCTGAACTTTAGTGAGTACTGAAATTATGAATTCCGTAACCTAGTCTCAATATAAAGGTTAACCCTGGGATCCAGGTATGTTTAACTGACTTGTCCTTAGGAGGATAAAACCTACATCCTGGATTTCACTACTAGCCACAATCTATCTGTTCGAAAAAACCTTCACTTAATGTTAACAAACTTTGTTCTATGTGAAATTGTTTGCTTGTATTTTTCCATTGATGTTTAGGACTGAAATTGGCCAGTCTCTTGTTGGCATATGTGCATAATATGCGTATTGCCTTAAGTCACAAGCTTCATGAGCAATGATAGATGGTGACTAGCAGTGGAATCCAGTTTGACTCGCGTTTCGTCCTACTTGGGACTTGTCAGCTGGATGTACCTGGATCCCAGAGTTGATGTTCAATCCGGGACTGGAACCCAGTACCGTTAGCTTAAAACCACCATCTATCTTTGCTTATAGAGTTTATGAATTAAGGCAAGATTGAGGAAATATGCACAGTATGAACATATGCCAATAAGAGGCTGACCAATTTCAGTCTTAAACATTATTGTGAAAATACAAGCGAAAAATACCAAGTGAGTTTAAACTTCACCCGATTACACAAGCTAGTGGCCATCAGGACTCAGAAATTAAGTAGATAACTCGGTGGCGTTTGAAGTGAGCGGTACTGGGTACGAGTCTCTAAGTGAACGTCATCTCAGAGATGCAAGTACACCCAGTCCCGGCTAGGACAAAACACCCATCCTGGATTCCACTGCTAGCCACCATTTATCATTGTTCTATGCGGTTAAAATTCTATGATTTGTTAACTTTTTGGTGGGAGAGTTTGCATTTATAAAAGAAAATAGTTTTGTACCATTAGGTTAACGCATTTCCGTGTTATTTTAAAGGTAAGATTTGAAATTTCATAGTTCGCGTGTCACTGTTATTCAAACCAAATCGCATCAACCTCAAATGCAAAGTTCAATAGATCTATCTGAATACTCTTGTTTTCGTCAGCTTTTCATAGAAAGTATAGAGAAATAGCTCTTTAAAAATATCACAGCATAATGACGTTATATGCATGCATTACTGACTCATTACAACATTGAAAACTTCAAACATGAGAATTAATTTAATAGTTGAATTCATGAGTCAATTGAAGCTAGACCACCATGGAAAACCTGGAAGCACTGGACGGCCATTTCGTCCTAGTATGGGACTCCTTAGCAGTGCGCATCCAAGATCCACAATTAATGTTAGAATACCTGTTGTTTATGTACCTACTAGGTTAAAGTATCAAATGAAGTATCTTTACTAAGATTTGTTTACTTAGTTAAGTTGTCTGACCAAACGATCAGAATCACCTTATAGAGTGTCTTGTTAAATCTTTAAATTATTGCGTAGTGTTGCTTCCTTTAAGTGGCTTCTTTAGCCACTGATATACTCAATGTCTATACAACAATAAATTAGTCTCATAAATACTACTATTCTGCGTATATATTGTGAAAAAATATGTGGCAAACATGATAATTCAGTAATTTATAACTTAATTTTGAAACTTACTTGTCGACCGACACCATTATTATGTAAATTCATTTCAAATCTTATATGTGAACCACGTTCCATTGTATCGAGTAAACGTCGTGAAAATCTTCTACCATAATGAATATTATGATCACATCCTTGCCATTGCCAATCTGAAAATGGTTCTTGTCTACCTCGATTATTACATGGACAATTATCAATTTGATTTAAACATGCTTCAGCTACAGATTGAACTATTCCAGCATTGATAATTGAATAAATAAATGCAGTTTGTGGTATACCTTAAGATAAAATATGATAGTGTTGTACTGTATATGTGTATTAATACACTCCAAACTTCAATTAATTACTATGATTTCTTTCAGTCATTTAAGAAATAGATTTCTGTAAATTTTACTAAACACTTAAAAAAGAGAATCATGGAGTCACAAAACTAGCTGAAATGAATTATCAGAAGGGAGTTTAGTGGAGATTGTAGTAATTTAATAGTTGAATTCACAAGTTAATTAAAGCTAAACCACCATGGAAAACCAAGAAGTACTGGGTGGCCTTTTCTGTTAATAGTCACCATGTGCTAACTAGTAACTAGGTTCAAGAGTTATTTCTTGGAGTTCTACTGAGCAGCCGTGACCAGTGGAGTTCAACCAGGTTTGTTGTGAGATAGTAACTCACTGAAGACAGTGGTGGATATGTCGCTGGATTTCGTGGATTGATTGAAGTTAGACATTAACACCACTAGATACCAGCTCAATGGTCTGTGGCTGAACCGTTCGCATGTGAGATCGAAGCTCCAGGATTCGAATCCCATGGGTGGGATCGTGAGTGCGCACTGCTGAGTAGTCCCATACTAGAATGAAACGGTCGTCCAATGCTTCCAGGTTTTCAATAGTGGTCTAAAATTGATCGATTAATGATATCAATTAGATCTCAATAATCTCCTCAACCCCATTCTGATAATCACAGTATTCATGCCATCCTAAATAAAGTATCATCACAATAGGATAACAATCAATATCGTAAAATATTCTGTATATAAGTGTATGATTTCATTATATAAAATCATTCATATTTTACTGATAGACTATTTTATCCTCTGACATCACTTCATATTAAAAATTGATGCATGAATAGGATTTCTAAGCAATCATTACTCGATCGTAATCAAGCCAAGAGACTGAAATTTTAATCAACATCAGTCAAACTTAATTCCTTCCATTTTAATAGATAAATATGCTATAACACTGCATGATTTGATCAATAGATTTTAAACACCGGTAAAAACCATAAAATACGATTGATTGATGTCTAATGATGAATTTAAGTGTATAAAATTCAGTCTTACTGATAACTAGTTATAGTTAAACTAACTTAGTAGTGACACTATCCATTTGCTGATGTGCTATATAACGTAGATCAGAATCCTTCAGACTACAAACCTAAAGTACCAAGGAAACCAAGATTTTGGTAGAGAAACATTTGTAAAGTGTAAATTGTTGGTGTTTGTTGACATTCATTAGCTAATAGTCTTAGCGATTTTTAACAAATTCTTATCACCCAATGCTACAATCACAGACATTACCATTTAGCCGAATACTGTTAAATGAAGTGCTTGATTGTTTTAAACTCAAAGTCTAATATATTTCCAGTTCCATATGATTTTCGTTTGACTAAATGCGAAATCTTACTTTTCACTGATATGATAATTTTATCGATTAAGAAGCTTTCTAAAGATCCTACTGACTGATTTTAAATCTATTCGAATAAAATGTTCTTTTTTTCCGAGATGGAATAATCCCTCACAATCTGATAAAACAAAGATATTTTATTTTTTGTTGTTGATTGAAATCATGAGTCAATTAAAGCTAGACTACCATGGAAAACCTGGAAGCATTGGACGACCGTTTCATTCTAGTATGGGACTACTCAGCAGTGCGCACTCACGATCCCACCCGTTGGATTCGAATCCTGGAGTTTTGATCTCACATGCGAACGGTTCAGCCACAGACCATTGAGCTGGTATCTAGTGGTGTTAATGTCTAACTTCAATCAATCCACGAAATCCAGCGACATATCCACCACTGTCTTCAGTGAGTTACTATCTCACAACAGACCCGGTATTTTAGAAATTATAAAACAATGAATCATTACTCACTGATAATTTGTTACGTCTAAGTAGTCTGTCTAGTTAATAATAACTTTAACTTACAAACATATAGATATTATCAATCTTATTTATTTCAGAATACTTCTAATCGATAACAGTTAAACTGTTCAATTTCTCTTTGTTTCCTGAGGTTAAGATCTTCAACCACCTTATCGATAGTATTCTAAGTTTTGTAGTATTCTAACAGTTTTCAGACTCCTCATCAACATATTCCAAAGAGCTATTTCCTTTGGAAAGTTATCCCTATACACATCTCTTACGAGTTTGTGTTTTCTGAGTTTTCCCAAAGTTTTAATAAATATTTAATAATAAATCGTTTCTCCATGTATTTATTTATCACTATCATGATCTATAACGAAAACAATATCAACTCCAATTCATTTTTATAGGATTCATATGTTTAAATAATCATCTGTTTCTAATTGACGTTATTGCTACAGGGATAGTTATGTCCATAAACTAGGAAACAATCTTAATATCTATGATGTTACTGAACAAATTGCATATAAATCAAATGTATTGTTAGAAAGGTATTAAAAATGTACTGTATTATCAGACTATGTAAGTTCAATAAATTAGTGGTTTAGAGATTAAGCATTCTCGCGTAACCGAAGGTCCTAGGTTCGAGTCTCGCGTTCAAGATCGTGGATATGCACTGTTGAAGGATCCTATACTAGGATGAAACAGTCGCCCAATACTTCCAGGTTTTTGACGGTGGTTTAACTTAGATCAACTTGTGATTTCAACTATAATAATACTACAATCTTCACAAATCCCTATACTGATAACAATTTATCTAGGTAAAACATTAACAGATACGTTTAAAATATTGAAATTCTTTGTCATTTAAGATAATAACAGTAATGAAAATATTATGAATTGTGAATTCAGTTTTCATCATTAATTGGTGTAAATTAAGAAATAGCTAAGAATCAGAGAAAACAGAACATCACAATTGATTAATCACTGGGTAGTGATCAATGTCATGCATGTCAAGTCCTTATTTAGTGCAGATCGAATGCTATCGACCATGTTGCAATGTGGCCACCAGTCTAAGTGACTCGACACTGCGTGCACTATATATTGAGATTAGATGGTGGTTGGAGGTAGTTGACGGGAAACCCTGGACCCGGGTTTCGTGCTACTTGGCACTCGTCAGCAAGGTGTACCTGTAATCTTGAGGGAACTGGTGCTCCCTGACGGACTCGATCCCGTGTCACCCAACTCCACAGTCAGAGACGTTACCACTGAGCTATCCGGGTCGCGGCTGACCTTCTGTAGGACTGAGATGTATTTACAGTTGATTGGGTGGTGACCTTGCTGACGAGATCCAAGTAGCACGAAACCCGGGTCCAGGGTTTACTGTCGACTACCTCTAACCACCATCATATCTCAAAACAGAACCTCACTCACTGCCTACTTAGTTACTTATTAATGAAACAACAGGTGGAGAGTATTCTTTTCTCTGGTGAAACAATTACAGAACTGAATCGGAGTAACAGTAATGAGTTTATATAGGTTAGAATTTATAGAAATGTTTCATAAATAGTAACTTAATTATACAAAAATCTTGTATATATCAAGTTCAAATAAAAAAATTCTATTCTTACCTTTCAGTAAAATGTTTCCAAATAAAGCAGTTTCATCATCAAGCACTTGACTACAATTCCATCTTTCATGCCTAAACTGATAACGACATTCAGCTACTGCACGTCTTACACCAACCACTGCAGCTTCAAATAAAGCAAGATTAAATTTAGCCGGTGCATTCATTCGACTGCCAATAGTTGTAGAATCATCTGTTAAAAATTGTTTCCATTGTTTTGGTGATAACCATTGTTTGTAACGTTGTATACGTTGTCTGAGATGATGTTCTATCCATGCTGTATTATGTGAGATAGGCTATAGATAAAATGAGAAAAAGGCAGATTTATAAAATTGTTAGGAAGATGTTATCAACATTGGTTTGTTCACAATTACATCAAGCTCATATATTGCATAATAATTATAGTGGTCCATTTATATTCTTTAGTTTGTTAGATTCAAGAACTTGATTAATATGAAAACGTTTTAAATCAAATCAATAAAAATCTAGAACTGGTGTGAACTTTCGCTGTAGTTTTCAATTTATCTGTTCACCATTTATTGGTAAATTGATTGGAGGTTAACAAATATTTAATAATTTAATAGTTGAGATCATGAGTCAATTGAAGCTAAACTATCATGGAATACCTGAAAGCACTGGACGGCTATTTCGTCCTATTGTGGAACTCTTCAGTAGTGTGAGTCCACAACCCCGCCCCGCGAGATTTGAACCCAGGAACTATCGGTTTCGTGCGCGAACGCTGAACCTCTAGACCATTGAGCTGGCCGGCATCCAACGCTGTTAATGTCTAACTTCAACCAATCAACAAAATTGAGCGACAAGTCCACCATTGTCTTTAGTGAGTTAACATCTCACAACAATATTTAATACATTGTTAGTGTACATGACCCTAATATACAAAGATTCCATGTAAGGCATAGTTTAATGTGAACATTCAGACTCCCAACTCAGTCACTACCATCCATTAGTTTTGATCAAGACTCTAGGACGAAGTTGTACAACGCGATCATTAATCCATCACCGTTGGATGTCCTGGTGTCAAGGAGTTATTCATAACAATTATGCAAGATAAGTCAACTTCACTTGGAGTTTTTTTTAATTTTTTAGGCCCGTATTTATATTTTATAAATAAATCCCATCTAAATTCTGGCGAAAACTTATTTCCTACTTCTTTCAAACTAACAGTGTTTAATTTGACAAGTTCAAAACTAATCCCAACCAATCATTTGAAATGAAACATTTAAATAAGTTTACTTTCGAAATATATCAGTTTACAGTTAAACTACATGTTTCATGGTATTTATAGTAGTTAATTAAAAGAAGGAAGTTTAACCTCGAAAGTTTACTATGGTCGTAGTGTATAAGTATAAATATTATACTAAATGTTCGCCGTTTTATTTAAAATATCACGTCATAAAAGACAATTGAAAATAGAACAAACTTACATCGAAAATCTGTCGTCTCCATCCATAAACTGAGGGATGGTTTTGATTATTATTATTATTGTTACTAGAGCCAGCATGAATTTCATGGTTCACATACGGAACAATTTGTCTTTCATTTTGATAATTTAATCCTGGTACATTATTCCATGGTATCATAGTTTCTTCATTCATTGCAATAGATGGTGATTGATTGTTTTCAGCATAAATTTCAATGATTGGATTATATAAACTCCGTGAATTACCGGACAGAGTTAATGGATGTGAATGTAGAAGTTTAGCTATCGTATCTAACCTACAAATAGATAACAAAATGTTTTATAATATTTGTACTACTCACAAGTAGTTAAACATTTTCGTATAAATAAATACGTTGGTTCTTATTTCAAACGATAATAATCTATGGCTCTATCGACAAAGTTTTTCACATCTATGGTACCTTTTAGAGAGGACTATAAAAATAAACCGTTTTGAGGTGTGTTAAAAAGAGCCTTAACATTTTTTTGAAAATAATCAATTACTAATTAAAATGTAATCTGTCTACGTAAATTATGATCTATACTAAATAAGCATAATGTTTTGTATCCACAGTCACTAGATTGCATCAAACACGCAGGTAATGAATTCTCATAGTTGAATAGTTTATTGGTGTTTATTAGCTCACGGAAAATGTGTGACCATGTTATGTGTATATATATAAACTGAACTTAGCCATAGCCTAGAGGACGGACATTCTACAACCGTGTCATTATTCGATCACATTTATAACTCTAAAATCAATTCAATCTATTCACAGAAGATTTAAAACAAGATTATAATACATAACATTAAACTATATTTCTCATGATTAAATTGTTTTTACAACAGACTTCAGATAAAATGTGAATATTTCCCAATCATATTATGTTATTTATCTAATATACTGTCATGTCTCTCTCTTTACTTAAATGTAATACATACATCATATTGGATGATGCATATCTAGTTGTTTCTATCTAATAAATTACATTAAATGTAAGAAAAAAACATACATATTTACAGGAAACAAACCTAAGAAATTAATTCCCTAATGAAGTAAATTTCAGAATAAATGAAGAGTATAGATAGATAATATAGAGATGTATATAATATTCATCTGTTCATCTGTTTATCATATTTCTCTATACACTATATGATTATTCAAGTATAAATATACATAAAAATATTTTTCTCTCAGCATACAATAATATACACATTGTCTGCCCCCCCCCCCCTATGAAATAAGATAGAGACAAGTAAACAAAAATATGAAACAGTCAAATTAGTTGTCCAGTCAGAGCCTGTCAAACTTGTCAAATTGATTTATTAGTTCATCATCTACTGTCAAATAACTCAACAAGACGAAAGGGGCATAAAACATTTTTTTATTCACTGGAAAATATTGTAATCTTTTTTTTTATATTACCAATACTACTATTGTTATTATTATTATTATTATTATTATTACTATTATTACTATTATAAGGTGCATTGTATATAAATAAGGCAGAGATATTCCAGAATCCTTATGCTAATTTCATCGACTTATTTCATGTTTATTTTGATTCGAATTTTTTTTCTTTTCTTTTTTTTGGTTTTTTTTCATGGTAAAATGGTGGATTTTCTTACTGTTAGTATAATCTAGTGTCAATGCTTGTTTATTTGTCTGTTATAGTTCAATCATATTCTTTATTGTAGCATTGTTGATGTCACTATTGAATTGTTCTTTCGCTTTTTTTTCTTTCCCATTTTTCTTTCTCTTTTTTTCTTCTTCTTTTCTAACAAGTAAATAACAGTGTTGATTTTTAATTATACTCATTAGAATTATGCATAAAAGTTTATTGATTATTTGAGAATTAATCATATGTACTTCATAACTATGGGCAGCGTCATTGATGAACACAGTGGATCTGATGCAGATGTGAAAGCGCGGATCGGAAAAGCAAGAGCAGCATATTTACAACTGAGGAACATCTGGAACTCAAAGCAACTGTCAACCAACACCAATGTCAGGATTTTCAATACAAATGTTAAGACAATTCTACTCTATAGGGCGGAAACCTGGAGAACCACGAAAGCCATCATCCAAAAGATACAAGTGTTTATTAACAGTTGTCTACGTAAAATACTTAGGATATGTTGGCCGGACACTATTAGCAACAACCAACTGTGGGAAAGAACAAACCAGATCTCAGAGGAGGAAGAAATCAGGAAGAAGCGCTGGAAGTGGATAGGATACACATTGGTGAAAGCACTCAACTGCGTCACGAGACAAGCCCTCACATGAAATCCTCAAGGCCAAAGGAAAAGAGGAAGACCAAAGAACACATTACGCCGGGAAATGGAAATAGACATGAGAAAAATGAACAAGAATTGGATGGAACTAGAAAAGAAGGCCCAGGACAGAGTGGGTTGGAGAATACTGGTCGGCGGCCTATGCTCCATTAGGAGTGGCAGGCGTTAGTAAGTAAGTAACTTAATGATTAGGGTATGTGTATGTTCATGTTTGTGTGTGCGCACAATTGGCTAAAGTAATCGATTGTTTAGGATAATAAATGAATATGTATTTGAGAAAAGTGATATATCTGATGCTGCTTACTTCATTTCATTAGTAAACTTGAATTTAATGTTTGAAGCAGTAAACAGCATTGTTTTTGATCGAGATCATGAATTGATTTATGTTAGATCACCACCTGTAAGCACTGGACGGTCGTATCGTTCTATTGTGGTTCAAATCTCGTGGGCGGGATAGTGGATGCTCATTGCTGAGGAGTTTCATATTAAGATGAAAAGGCCGCTCAGTGCTTCAAGGTTTTCAATAATGATCTAACAACATTCGACTCATGATTTCAATCAAAAACTTTATGATCTCCACAACCCCATGCTGAAAACAGTTTTGTATTATACTTCTGTTACAATGATATTGAATACTTTGAATGATTCACATACATACCTTATTCCGAAGTAATTAAGAACTGATACATCGATAACTTATTTAACAATTGAACTATCCAAATATATTTCCGTAAAAATCTTTCGTTGAAGTGTTTCCGTTATATGTGTTCTTAGCTGACTGATGATATTGGTTATGTTAATTAATTTAAAAATATGAAAAGAAGGATAGTTAATTAGTTTCTTGAAGAGAGCAAGAAAAAAGATCCAAAGACCATCAAACAGCATTACGAAATATTAAACGAAATGATGATATAATGGTCAGATAAAGGTTCAAGTGTTGTTCTTATAAACACAACAGATTATGTCTCTAAGATGAAGTTCATTTTAAGTGACTATATGAGATTCAATCTAGATAAAAGTAATAAGGACTTAACTGATTCAACTGAGAATAGAATCACGAAGGTACTCAGAGATCTCCAAAAGAAGAAGGAGATGATGATCGATAATTCTCTGCACTAACCTTCACTTCTGCTCTCTTTAAGATAATAAAGGGAACTATGTGTATGTAATTAGTTTCTGATGGTCAACAAGTGAAAATATATTTAGTTCAAATAAAATAAAACCATATTTTCAATGATATACTGATGTACTTTAACAAGGGAACATTTATATGAATTATATACCTTGTACATATTTGAGAATAATGATTCATTGAATAAATAGGACTGAGGAATAGATTTAGGATTGTCATCAATAAACTAATTTACTGGTTATTGATGATACGCTCGCTCTTTGATAAATCGGTGACCTTTGATCCAGAGTTAATAATTTAATGAATGAAATGCTATGTTCAATTATAAAGTATGATTTTCCTGCAATCTAACTCCAAGACCTATTGAAAACTCAACAAACTCTTCTCACCTTCATTCAATTCATAATAGTTTCAGAATTATTCCATAGTTGATATTTTTGACTAAATTTTGGTCAATCTTAATTGGTATATATATATCCTATGCGAATCGCCTCGATATAGCTATTATATCACAAGCTTTTATAGAATAGATAGAATATGACTAGTAATGAAAAGTTTGCTCATGAAATCAGTCCTTTACTTCTAACCTATTAAACTTTGTAATAGTAAATCATTGGGCTAATAACTTGTTAAATAATCATTTACCGATCAACAATAAAAGCGATTATAAAATGATCAAGAAAGTTCCACTCTCTTCATGTTATACATGCACAAACACAGCATGTAGGAAAAAGAAAAAGATGTTAATTACAATCTTAACGTGAATTTAGTATGTAGAGTAGAAGAGATCAAAAAATAATCACAAAATAGTTCATTTTTGTATTGGTTGTTTCAATCTTCCCATTGAAGTTTAGGACTGTAATTGATCGGTCTCTTATTGGCATATGTGCATCTTAAGCGAATTACCTTGATAACGTCTTAAGTTACAAGCACTATAAACAAGCACTACGGATAGTGGTTAGTATTGGAATCCAGAACACGCGTTTCATCCTATTTGTGACTCGTCAACTGGATGTACCAGCATTCCTGAGTTGATGTTCACTCCGAGACTCGTATCGATTAACGCAATTGCGTTATCTATTTAGTTACTGAGTTCTGATAGCCACTTGCTTGTATAATGGCGTTAAGTTTTAATTCATTATTGGATTGTTTGCTGTTCATAAACTTAGTAGCTAGTGGAAAATGTGACAGCGTTTGAAGCGAACGGTACTGAGTTCAAGCCCCAGAATGAACAACAACTCAGATACAAGTATATCCAGTTAAAGTCGATTAAATGAATCCAGCTAATGAAACATTATGAATAAGTTATAAAATACAATTCATAAGTTAAACTGAAGTAAAATAAGTAAAAAGTGGTAATTGTAGGCGGAATCATGAAAATAGGAAAGGATTGTATAGAAACACACTGGAATATGTCCCATACTATGAAAATGTTTAAGTTATTTTGATAATGTTCAAGTTTTCCCTTAAAAACAAAAAAACAAAAACAAATTTTTTTCTAGCTAACTGAAATTTTATTTGGCTAGAAAACAACATAAAATCAACAACTGTTTACATATTAGGGTTATTTGTTACTTTGAAAAGTGTTATCATGAATAGCAGTAAATAATGATCATGACCATTTCACTATAGTCCCAATTGTTAACTGAGAGGTAAACAAATTTTCCTATTCTAATAAATTATCGTTCTATGAATCTGGTTTGTAAATATGGATAGTAATGACAATTAGTTATCAATATAATGAACTGGAGTGTAAAGTGATTAGAGATTATTTCTGAGAAACTCTCAATCTGGGTTTTCTGGTAGTTGGCATTCATCAACAAGGCGTACTTAAAATCATAAAGGTACTG